ATTCTGGGAAACACTTAAAGACAATAGAACCAAGTAGTTTAGTACGGTTACCATTCAGTGTGGATTCTGTAGGAGCTTTTAGGAAAAGCATTAGTTTTTTTATGCTATGCTAATACTTTGGTTTGTAAGCTGATAGAAAAGTTTTATCTTTTTTTACCACACAAAGTATCCATCAAAATTTTAGACATTTTAAAGGAATATTTTGACCCATTTAGAGATAATTTAGAGAAGTAGAAACATAGGCCTATAAAGTCACTTAAAGGGATTTCATGCCCAGTTTGCTCTAATGAAAAATATTTAAAGTATTGCTCAAATATCTTTGCCCTAAAGAACCAGTATTTCTTTGCTACCATCAAAGAGTTATCTCCAAGTTCCTTTCTTAGGCACCAGGAACATGTCCAGGCAAGAACTGTGACATCAGTAGTTCTTATGTGCATATTATTTTTAGTCATCTTTTCTGCAGGCCATGTCTATATATCATCTGGACTGTTTGGCATATAATTAATTATATTATTCATTATTGCAATGGCCCAAGGATTATCTACTATCTCCAAATGGTTCACACTTTTAGGTTACCTTAACTATGAAATTAAATGCATCTAATGATCTTAAACAATAATGAATTCAATTGACTCTTAGAGATATAATGGATTGCTTTGAATGGCCATTTTAAACTAAAGTAGAACTCATTCTAGAAAATCAACTGTTTTAAAAGCATTTTGCCATATACTAATCCACTCTGATATGCAGACATGGAGAAAACTAAAGGTTTGACAAATAGAACTCCTTGATGGTTTTATCATAACTAACAAGTTTTTCTCCATGTGAAATTTGCTTTTCTTTTTCAAAAAATCCAGGTCTTGGATGTTCAGGAAACTATAGATCGTCAACAGGGTAAAGAGTATGAACATGACCTTAGTGAGACAGAAAAAGCTATAGTCAGAGAAATGTGCAATGTAAGTTTAATGTGCTTTATTGTGTATTCTGTGTTGAAAGCCTCATCATAGCTTAGTTACTGCTTTATGAATACCTTCTTTTAAAAGTGCTGACTAAATGCCCTTACATTTTTACATGAAAGTAAGACAATCACTCTTGTTTTTATCTTTAGTATTTTTGCAGGTTTATTAACACAGTAATCATGTTTCAAAATATTGAGATCAGAGGACTCAGTGGTAGAGGATTTCCTGGCACATGTAAGGTCTTGGGTTTGGTTCTCATCCCTGCCATAAATAAATTAATCAGGTCAGGAATGATCACCCAATTCTATATTCCAAAATGGTGTATGAATACTTCTTAAATTTTAATTTATTATGTAAAATAATGTATTACTATTTTTGATAAAATATATGGGTTTCTGTTTCCTTTAAAACATTTTTTAAAGATCAGTGTTTAACAAACCTATGATAAATGAAGAAAACACAGTTTTTTCAGATTTATTCATAACTATTCTTGGCAAATAATCACCACTTTACTAGGTAATATTTGCTTAGCTCTTCATGCATATGATATGTGTGCTTCATGTCTTTACCCTTCACAAGTTGACACTAACTTAGAAAATAGGAAGTTGAGAACATAAGAAATTCATAGAAACTAATCTATGAGGCCAGAGAACACAATTAAAAAACAAAAAATGTTATTTTCATTATGTATATCAATGTAATTATTGATGTAGTTTGAATTTAATTCATCACTGACTAAATATTAATTATGAGCATTATGTATGTGATATCATGTAATCAAGATTATAATTTATGAAGCTTTAAAAAACTAGGTGAAATATTGTAGAGGAAGCCATTTGTTAGATGTAAGAAATTATGGCTAAGCACTGATCCTATTAAGCATTGGTTTTAATTGATTTTTTTATTATACCTTTACTCATATACTTTTCTCCATTCAGATAGCAAACATGCTTGGAAAAACCCTTTAGCATTAGGTCTATTAGGGTCAGATAGTCTCAGATTCTTATTATTTCTGGAATCCAATAAATGAGTAAATCCCATGGGCATTTGTATGTGCTGGGGTAAGAATCTTAGTTTCCTACTTGCCTGTGTTGTGTCTTTTTATTTTGCAATCCTTTTCAAGTTATTTTCTTTCTTGCATATCTGTTGTCTGATTTTAAAAGGTCACTAGTTCTAGGTGTCATAATTTCCTAAATACACCACTGTTCTTTTTCTGTTGCTTTCCATCTTGTGTGTAAGATTTTCCATTTGAATATTTCCCTTATGTAAATTTTAAGTTTTAAGCTGGTGAGATTCCTGTTGCTTCTCACCTACTGCAATGAGAAAACTCAGGCAATAAGAATTGTGGAACTAGAAGGGACCACAGTGGTCATCCTCCAGTGGCCTCCAAGGAGGAGTGCATGGGACTCCCTCTTAATCAGAATTCTATTTAACATCACTTGACGAATGATTTGGATATGAACCCACGGGTAAGGACCTAACACTCACATTTTGTGTTTGAAGGAAGTATCCAAATATGAAGTTTCTTTCTCCAACAGTTTTCCAGCAAACAGTTGGAGTTGGAAATATACCCACATCTCCTTTGAGGACCAGCTCTTTCCACTTTCCAAAGTGTGGCAAATTTGGGGACTTCCATTTTCATTCCTAAAGAATGAAAATCACTGTACCTTATAGATAAGACCATCTCTGTTGTGTTGAGTGTTAGAATTTCTGCAAAAATTGCCGGAATTGTTTATTGCCCTCATTTTCTTCTCCTTCAAGATTTTTAGACATATTAGAAATCACATTTCTTTAGTCTCAGAAGAAATTTGATTGTGTATTGATCTTTTTGTTTGCTTCAAAAGATAGCATGCACTGTTGGTGGTGTTTTTAATTATATAAGATACTTTCAGAAATACAAAAACTTAACCTTCCTTGTTTACATTTTAAAGTTTGCTAGTATATCTTTTATATCCATGTTTGTCTTTGATCCCTAGTATGAGGGAAAAGTGAAAAACAAACCTTATAACTGTTCTTAAGGACAATAATTCAAAACTCAAGAGAAAGAAGTGTTGATTTAAAATAATATTTGTATCTCCATTAGAAATTATATAAACATCAAATACACATAGTAAATGCTTGAGAATAAAGACAAAAGCAGATTATAAGGCAGTTTCATAAATAAGTAATTTCTTAGAAACTAATGAAGATTATGAAGAATTAGTTCCTATTGGAGAAAAAAATATATATATATACTTTTATAATAATGTCACTGAATTATATAGCTTTGTTATTCTATAAGATCAGTGATGAGGTTCAGGGAAAATTTAGAATGATAGAAGTTTTGCCATAGTTTCTGATATTCTTTCTGGAGATAAGTTGTTAATATCCATACAGCAAAAAGGGTATTATTCATAGCACCATCATGTTGGCATTTATCTTCTAGGGATAGATCTCCTTTTTGTGGCAATGATTTTATTTAAGGTTAATGTAGCTCTTGTAAATCCCCTGGTGACAGGTGAGATGCGTGACAAGTCATCTCAGTCACAATCTCCAACACATACCTCTTCTGCTTTATTAGACATCCAGTCACTAGTTGTGGCCCACCTTCCCGATCATTCATTTATTTCAGAGTTCTGCCTTCTATAAGTTTCCTTTCTCCACACCATAATATCTAGTTGAAGGCCCATTGTGTTCTACATTTGAATAATTGAAGAGGAATTGCACTTAGTTGTAACCAGCTAATACTTTGCATCTTTGGTCTTTCTGAGGTCTTCAGATCTACCCTTTGCTTCCAGACCAAACATTCCAAACTTTTAGGGTAGAGGTAACAGCATCTTTTGGCTTCCTGATTCGGTGTTTGTACCTCTACTGTCAATTTATTAAGAAATGAGACTTTCCTTATAGACACAGCTTAAGTTATCCATTGCTATATATTAAGGACCATAACTACACTTCCCTTTGAGCAAAACAGGACATTTCTGCCTTGTAGTTGTATCTGTTGAAACAGACACACTAATAGAGTTCCACTGGCTTAGAAATGAAGATAAACAGAACCCTATATTCTTTCCCATTGCTATGAATGGTATTGGGTTTTTCTGGTGTATCTTCTTTTATTTAAAAGCAAAATCAAATTAAAGAAACACAGTCTGTAGATAATTAGTGAAAAAGTGGCTTGGGGTTCATGTTAGAGCAATGTTAAATTTTGTGCAATTACTCTATCTAACATAATTCTTATAGTGAAACACTCTAGGGGGTTATGGCCATTATTATGTGTGTATACATGCATGCATGTTTATTTAAGTTAGTGTTACTATATCAGTGTATTGTTGGTGAGCTTAATAGTTTTATAGTCATATTATTCTTGCTAATATCTCTCAAAAGTGGCCCAATTTTTAACACCTTATAATTGTATTTATTTCAATGATTACTGAATTTATTAGCTTTTCTTTATAGTTGGATGCTTTCTGCTTTGAAATCTGAGAGAAATTTGTGACTATTGAGACCCCCACATTGCAAAGAAGTTCAGGAAAATTTGGTAGTAGTCCTAAGACTCCCAGCTTAGGACTTACATAATTCATGAATATAAGCACTTTCATTTTCCTAAGTGAATTAAACATTTGAGCTCCTTTGTTTTAGTTGTATAATATGGGAACCAGGATGATCCTATCAATAGTTCTTAATTCTGGATACACATTAAAATCACTTTGGGAATTTAAAAAATTACAGATGCTAATGCCTCACTTCCAATGTAATCAGAATTATAGAGGATGAGAGTTTCCCAATTGCTTACTGTGCAACCAGAGTACATTGGCACATCATTCTTTAATTTGGACCCTAGTTGCTAGCAGGGTATAGTAATCCCATCTGCAGGGCAGTTCTTGTGTTTCAGAAGCTTGTCATTATATTTTACTTTGTGTTTGAACTCATCATGTGGATATTTTGTCTCTTGTCTTTGCATCCATCTTTGCTCCTCCTGTATTTCCCTTTGAAACACACAAACATTTCTGTGGAAGAGGACAAGTAGAAGGCTTACTCCTGATATTTCTTTTTTTTTTTAAGGTTGTGTGGAGGAAACTTGGAGATGCTGCAGGTTCGTGTCCTGGAATTAGGCAACATTTGTCAGGCAACCAGTACAAAGGACCAATGTGAGGAGCATTCTTTTTCAAACATGAGACCATCACTGCACAAGAGGGAGAAAAGAAAAGAAGGAGTAAAAAGTGTATTTCCATAAACCTGGACTCATGGAATAACATGGAGTGATTGTACATTGCACATATCTTCCCTCTATCTTTAGTACAACTTCCCCCATCAAGCTGATATTTTGTGTGTCTCACTTCAGTGTTTACAACAGTTAATCTCAAACAAGGTAGCTTTGAAAATTCACCATTTTAGTACTAATATTTTCAATAGAATTGAAATGTTTTTAACTCCCCAGATCTAGATTATAATTGGGAAACCTGCATGGTTGGAAGAATCCAGTAGAGTCTCCATGGTGTTGATAGATTTGGCCCATTGCAGATACCAGTGGGAACTTTCCACCATGCTGTGTTGAAGATATGAAGAGGAGTTTTCCAGCTTCCCAAGACTGAGAGTTGGGCAACTAGCTCTTACACTTCAGTTAGGAAAATATGTGTTCCTAATGCATAATTAAGTTAGATTCAGGAGAATATCTGATTTCTGGGCTTTCATTTTAATGTTTAAGGTGCTAAAATACCAATAAATTCTTTTTCCAGCTAGAAGGGTAGCAAGTGCTCATTAGAGAGTACCATTTCCTTTGATTAATAAAAATAATTATATCTTTTCAATTAATCTTGATGAGTTGCTCATTAAGGCACATCTTGGGGACATACCAACCTCTATCTTCATTCAGTGTATCAGCTAACAGACAAGCAAACAATTTTTCTAAGTGTTTTGAGCTGTGAGATGTCAATTTCTACAACTTAGTTTCTAGACATGCTGTATATTTAATAAACTTTCTGTAAACTTTAAAATATTGCACTGCATTTATGAAAACAAGCTTTCTTTGCTTACTGCAGCTATCTAACGTTTTAGGAAACTAACGCATGTCCTTCATTATTGAGGCTAAAAGCTCTCGTTCAGATTGCTTGAGATTTGAAAAAGAGATGTGCTAGCTTTGCTTAGTTTATTTCTTATTTTTGGTATAGATAAATGATATTAGAATATGTGTATTGGAAATGCTATGATAGATATTTTGTGTTTATCTAAATGCAAAGATAGTTTCTTGTATGAATGTGCAAGAAGCCTGTGACAGAATGCTACCTTTTTACTGTAGTTTAAGATCATAAAAGTAGGGGTGCAACAATTCCCATTTTTGAGTATCTTCTAAATTACTGATTTGATTCACAGCAAATACTCTTTGTTGTCTTTTTTAAATGGGCTCATTAAACAGTGTGTTAATGGTCATTGGTGGGGGGATGTGAAGGAATTTTGTTGTACTTAAAAAAATTAAATGATGAAAAACCAGCCCTCTATTTTCAGAAAATATTTATGAATTCATTTACTATAGAATTATTTCTCTAATTATCATAATTGGGTGACAGTTTAAGTCTTTCTTTTAAAATGTTATATTTTTAAATATTATTACTCTGTATTATTACTCTGTAAAAGAAAATTGCTTCCTACATTTACATCTTCCTTCATAGAAGAGTTTTCACCCTTAAATTGTTGTATTCCTACACCCTAAAGATGTTTAAAACAAGTTTTTGTGCTTGCAGCAGAGCCTGCAGAAGCTAATACAAGGGACACTGGTCTTTTGAGAAAATACTTGTGTAAATTTTGATACTGTATTAAAACTATTTTTTTAAGGTTCCACATAAAATTGAGTATTAAGTATATGTGATCATCTTAGCAATGGTAATAAATTATTTAATCTCACAGTGTTTTGTCTTCTTTAAAATGTTTTCCTTAATTTATTAGATTTCTAATAGTCACTAAATATCATCAGACTCCTTTGTGTTGGTGATAATAATAACAATACAGATTATCTTCAGTGTAAAGCAAAGGAATGTTTTAAAATATGCTTTTAATGAGGAATTTTATAGAGATGTCTTAATTTATACCATTCTTTCTCATAGCTTAAAAATTTAGGATGTTTCATGATACTTGAGAATATTTTAAAATTAGTTTATGTTATAAAATCCTCTCTTGTTCTTTAAATTCATATAAGCTTAAATTTGATTCAGTGAGTAAATTATTAAAACATTAGTTATTAGAAGAAAAATACTAGAAGGGAAATACTAAAGAAATGGAAAACTTAACTATTTTAAGAAGCATGCTCATTGTGTAAATGTTTAATATATAATATAAACAAGACATAAACATGAAAACACACATACACCTTAATAGATCATACATACATTTTGGCAATCATTAATGAGATTCTAAAATAAGGCTTCCTAATTTAGCATTAGCCCCAACTTTATGTAACTGAAAATATCTGTGAAAATAAGTGGCACCATTCTCTTATGTGACTATTTTATAAGTTTATGTTCTTATCTTTCCCAGGACAAAGGTTAATTTACATATCTTGAAAGAGTATTTTTTACCAGTCTTGAGGCTGATAAAACGACAATCACAACCTTGCTTTTAATGAGTGCCTTTCACATTTTTAGCATATGCTTAAGGCATTGTAGAAAATTCAGATCATCTCATGTGACATTCAGTAAAATACTGACAGTCTAATTGGGATGATTGTTCCTTATTTCAATGAACATTTAATGAATGCCTACCACTGCCACATGAGTAAACCCAGATTTGGTCCTGACACCTGGCATTGATTGCTCAAGACATACATGGAATAATAGTATCTTGGATGTCAGCAGGAGCTTCCTGTATACTTGACATTTAGATAGGATTCCCTCAAATATCCATTTTCTTGATCTGAGGAAGAGAAAATTTAATGATTTATGCCAACTCCCAGAACTTGCATTTTGTAGTAAGCTTTATGGTGCCTTATCCTTCCTGTACCTCAGGGAGGATGGGTACAAATTTGTCTATCTTACAAACCCTGACATTCATTCTTGTAAATGGTCTGCCTAAGTCAAGGTAATTTATGAAGGTAGATTCCCAATAGGCTCAAGGCATCTCTATGAGGAATTTATATATTACCTTCTAAAGAATGAAAATCCCTCCACCCTGTTAAATGATTAAAGAGAGCATATTAGGTGAATCATTTGAAATTGTCAGTATTTAACCATCTTTGGAAATAAAAAACAGCAATTTCATAAGGCTCAACCTCAGATGGTGAAGAGATGTTGGGGAGAGGATGGGAATTAGTAAATACAATAGAAGAGTAGAGAGAATCTTCACATTGGGCAGGAGCTATAGTAAAGTCTGGTGACTTAAGAGCTGCATTGAGTAAAAAAAAGTTTGACTTTAGACAGGTAGACTTTTGGCCTGTGAATTTGAACAACTTCACACACCAAAGGGAACTACAATGTATATTGCTGAGTTGTTATAAAGTTCTTATTTCCTCCTTAATTTTGAAGCTAAATTGTCTTGACATTACATGAGAAATAATAGCAGTCCACCAACTAATAGGAGCCTAGACCCAGGGGCAGTGGCAATTTATGCTATTAGGCTGGTCAAGAAAAAGATATCAATGCCAAAGGACCTATCTACTTCCACATAAAGGCATTCTAAATTCTACGTGAGGAAATTCTAGCTATGTAATTATATACTATCAAGCTCTATTGTTTATACATCATCCAGCCCACAAGCCTACTAATTATAGATGGCGATTGTGTGAATGGAGACAAAAGGGACCCTGGTCTGAGTCTCATATATGAATAATATGGTTTAAAAACAAAATCTACACTATTATTTAGTTCTTTATTTTTCCAATCAATGAGAAAAACATGAGAATAAAGCCTTCTGCTTCAAAATGTTACAATGAGAACGTGCTATGGCTTCCTTTCTTGCCGCAAAACCTAAAATTGATTTAAAAGATATTTTAATAAATAAATACACAAGGGTGTGACCATAAGAATGTGCTCCATGGACCAGCAATTATGATGACTTCTTGAAAAAAGTGAGACAAACAGATGTGGATGATAAATGAATCTGTAACTCAAAGTATATGATGTAGGGTATTGGTGAAAAAGTAAGATGGCTGCAAAGGAGCTCTAAATAAGGAAGAGTTTGATGCCTGACAATAGCCAGGCATTTTGCCTCCTGCACATAAGCATACCCTCCTTGGGTCAGGCAGAGAATACTAAAGATGGTTTCTTCCAGGTCAGAATAGATAGTGAGGGTGTTTGAATTAGAAAAAAAAAGGCACAGTAGTCAGAGCTTGAAACACATAGGGGAAAAGAATCCTGTGTACCAGGTCAGTAGCTACAGGCATGGCCTACTTAGAAGTTTGTCTCACACTTCCTTTATACTTAAAGAGGTTATGTGACCTAAGCCCAGGGGGTACTCTGTGCTGTGGGGAAATAGTATTGACACAAGGAGGGGAATGGAGGTCACTACCTTCAAGAATCAGGAAAGTGGAGCCCTTGCTCTCTGAGTCCAAGGGCCACATGTGGACTCACACCAGTGGCAGACTGAAAGTAGGCAAGATGCAGTTCCTGCCACCTCTTCCCCAGAACAACAAACAAATGGGTATTACAAATAGGGAGAGAACAGTGAACTTCCTGTTGCTTCCCTGCCCATAAGGGCTTGCTGAGGAGGCCTTGAAAAACTCCTCTGTCACCCTACCTTTGGTATGTACAGTTTTGGAGTTGGGGAGAAGAGAAACTTTGCTCAGTTCCAGTTATTGCCCAACTCCTAGGCATGCATTACCCTTGAAGTAGCAGTGAGGAATACCATGGTTCCTAGTGCCACCCCATCTAGGTGGTTCCTGCCACCATCTCCCTACACTTGGTCTAACCATGCACTGCTGTCAGGATTGGGTGTGGTTGACACAAAGTGAGTGCAGTGGTTCCCACCACTGCCTCTCTCTGTGCAGCATCTGGTTCTCTACTGCTCACTAGAGGTCAAGTTCTTCAGACCTGTCACTATTGCTGGAGCCACCAGTGACAGAGCCTAGCTCAACAGTGTCTGAGGAAACCCACCACTCTCCTTGTAGGAGTACCACATAATGAACACACCACATCCACTGGTGTTTATACCACACTTGCCTGAACTGCTAAAGTGTTCCTCACTCTTGCATGGCCCACAGAAACAGTGGATCTCTCCAGTTCTGCCATGGTACACACTCTAGGCCTAAAGTCATTATTCACAGTTAAAGAAGCTACAGGCCAACATTATACTATCTAGCTAGACTCCAATCCAATATTGCATAACAAACTGACACAACACCAGGAGAAAGTCATTAGGAAGACTGTTTCATAGTGGTAGAGATACTAATCTACTAGATATGTGAATGTTAGCATAAGAGCACATGGAATATGAAAAAA